CCGCAGCATCTTTTCTTTTCTGTGGGTTTTGCCCAGGCTGCATTTCCATTTTTTCTGAAGAAAATACCTGTTTGGCTCAAACAATCTCCTGCACTTTGCTGCTCAGCTCTCCGGGGCTTTTCCTGCCTCCCCGCTCCCTGTCGTACGTCAAACGTGGCCGGATGCTTCGCCCTCACTGCAGCATCCTGGAGGAGCATCCATGCTGAGTCCAAACACTTCCCTTTACCCACCCTCCCCCTTTACTGCCAGGTTGTCTTTATTTGCTCCCTTCTTCTATTTTTCTCCAGCTTCCCTTTCTGAAGTTGAATGACACTGTAGTAATTTGTAGCCCGACTCCTCCTGAGACTGTCGAGCTTTAATTATATTTTTCCCATGGTTGGTGAACGGCTCGGCTATAATTATGCCAGGAAGAGCATTACTTAGGACTAACCTGAGAACAGCCTCCCCCCCCACGGGGTGCCAGGGCACTGCCTGCTCCCAGGAGCTCCTTTTTAAGGTTCTGAACTAGAGGTCCCAAGAAGCTTTTGCTGGAGAGGAGCGGAGTGTGGCCACATGCCACCCATCTGGGACTCATCCCCAGCACTGCTGATGGCCCTTCCTCTCATAAGCAGTCCAGCCACTAATTACAACACCTTGAACTGTGCTGGCACAAGGAAACCCTGGAGAGAATTAGGGTCTGTCTGCTTTGCATTAGAACTACCATCATCTGCTGTGCAGTGTGGAGTGTGGTCCTGAGCTCCCCCTGACACTCCACGTGCATCCATCGCCAACAGCAGGAAGCTGTCCTGAAAGCCAAGGGTGGGATGAGCTTTCTGGTCCACCTTTCTTGCCTGAATATTATATTTTAGTTGACCATGACACACCAGTGCCTACAGACAACCTGCCTTAGGTATCAGTGTGAGAATAATGAGATGGGAGTCGGTGCATCCAGTGCATCCTTCATCCTTCCAGGGTGGCAGCAGAAGAGTGGTGGCTCTTGGCTGATATGAGAGGGAATGAAGGATCCCATAGCACTTACAGGACACCCTGCACCTTCATTTTAAATGGGCTGAAAAAGGGTTCCCTCCTTGGCTACCTCCAAAAACTGATCATGGAATCACAGAATGGTTTGGGTTGGAATGGACTTTAAAGCTCATCTCGTTCCACCCCTTACCATGGGCAGGGACACCTTCCACTAGACCAGGTTGCTCTGAGCCACGTCCAGCCTGGCCTCAGGCACTTCCAGGGACAGGGCAACATGTCCAGGGATGAGGCAGCTGATATCAACAGGAGCTTCTCAGCCCTCATTCGTATCCCTTCTCACCTGTTCACTTTACACAAATGATTTCAGTGAATGGTAATGACAAGAGGGAATAGTGTTCTCCCATTTTAATTACATCAGAGAAAATTTAGGAGAATCATATCCCAAACCTAAAAACTGTTCCTTAAGTGAGCTTATTTTTCTGTGTCACAGAAACCATTGTACTCCATTCTGACTAAAACAACTTTAGGAAGCCAATTTACTTGTCTCCAGCACACTGTGTTTTTAGCCTACTTTCCTCAGGAAATGGGGCTTTACTTCTGTGATTGTGCTGTTTATATATCTATATGCCATCACTCCCACACTAATAACTTTTGAACGTGTTGGCCAATTCCAACCAAATCTGACAGAGCGGCAGAGTTTTCAAAAATACTGAATTCTTACAAATTTAATGAAATACGTGGGTGGGCACATATTTTCCCCCACCAAGGGAAAGGCTGCAGAGTGAACTCAGCCATATCATTAGACAGAAAAGAATACACACACACACTCACACACATGCACAGACACACACCAGTGCTATATAAAATCCCCAGGTGTTGGTAAGTCACTCATGTTGGTGTTAGAGGGGGGACGTTGCACACCTGGTTCCTATAGCCACCAAAATGAGCACCAGGATTACTCCACCAAGGCACCCACTGCCTGTTTTATGCCTTTCTTGCTATTCAGACAATGTAATTTGGTGTGGGCACTGCTGGGGAGTGTTCCTTCATTAGGAAGCTTTAAAGTTAATCTGACTAAATAGATGAAAGCCTTTCTAGCTGGATCTAGGTATGTAAAACCTTGCTCTCTTCTGGTTCTGCAGGCTCAGGGACTCTCTGCCAAAACCCTTGCAAAGGGGAAGAGCTCGAGCTGCAGGATTGAAGGGTTCAGACAAAGCAGTTTAAGTTAAAAGAGCAGAGATTTAGATGGGATATTGAGAAGGAATTCTTCCCTGTGACAGTGGTAAGGCCCTGGTACAAGTTGCCCAGAGAAGCTGTGACTGCCTCATCCATGGAAATGTCCAAGGCCAGGTTGGATGGGGCTTGGAGCAACCTGGGCTAGTGGAAGGTGTCCCTGCCCATGGCAGTGGGTGGAATGAGATGAACTTTGAGGTCCCTTTTCAACTCAAACCATTCCCTGATTCTGTGACTTTGATTTTATGATTCTATGATTGATTCTATGACCTCAGAGTGGAAGGAGGGAGAGCTGCTTTACCATAGAATCATAAATCACAGAATCGTTTGTGTTGGAAGGCACATTAAAGCTCATCTCATTCCACCCCCTGTCACGGGCAGGGACACCTTTCACTAGACCAAGTTGCTCCAAGCCCCCTCCAGCCTGGCCTTGGACACTTCCAGGGTTGAGCCTGTGCATCCACCTAATCCCATCTGCTCTCTGTTTCCAGCAAAGCCTGAATCCCACAGTCCATAACTATAGCTGGATCCTTTGGCTCTTCATTGACAGATATTGGGGCCTCAGCACAGGCCATTAGCAGAGGCAGCAAACATTCCCAGGATGGTGTCGTGCCCGTTGGTAACCCAGGGCTAATGCACAGGGTCACGTTGGAGTGTCTCTGTCCCAGCTGGTGCAGCCGGCGCTGGGCAGTGCAGGGGATCAATAAAGGGCCTTTCAACACACCAGCAGCCCTCGTGCACTGCAGGCAGTGGCTGGGCCATGGCAAGAGCCAAGCCCCACATTCCCAGCACTCGCTTCCTTCCACGTGTCCAGTCAAGGGCAGGTAGCCAGGATGAGGCAGCCGGGATGCAGGATGGAGGTGTCGCGTTGCTCCCAGAGCATTTTCTGGCAGGACCAGCTTTGGCCTCTGATGGAATATAACTCAAGGCACTGCATCCCAGGTATTTATTTCTTTGCATCTTCACTGGTGACTGAAGGGGTGAAATCCCACAAATCCCACAGCTTTCCCCCTCCTTCATGCACACATGTGACCACAGGCTGCATCCTCTCTTCAGCTCTCTATCCTCCATCCTCCATCCTCCGTCCTCCCTGCTGCTCTCCAGCACAGCTCAGGACCACAGCACCCCAGTCAGTGCAGGGAAGGCAACTATTTGCATCAGGCATTCCTGTCTGACTTGATCTCTTTTCTTCTTTCCCATAATCAGAAGTGGAATATTATATGCCAAGAGCTTATTAAGCATTTCTAGCATGGGGGGAGTGGTGGGGAAGGGTCACATCTCTTCCAATCCCACATTCATGACGTTCCAGGACCATTACCACCTGGAGATGGAGGATGCTCAGGTCCTCAGACTCAGCATCCCACAGCACATTAGAGCTCCTGATTTCCAGGATTCATCCCACAGCAGACTAGAGCTCCACATTTCCAGGATTCAGGCCTTTTGAGGCATTCACATCCACAGATCACAGGGAAAGATCTGGTCTTTCTGCTGCTCTGCTTTCCTACCTGGTATTCTAGTGGGATTTTTAGTTTTATTCTAAAGCTTTGACAACAATTTGGTACAACAGCAGCTCGAAAACATCATCAAGCCCAAAAAGGCTCCCAAAGCAGGCCTGGGAGTCTCATTCATATTGCAGATAAGCCATCAGCAGGCAGGCTGATAAGGATTTCAAGTGTGACTCCGCATACAAATATTCCAGACCCAGCAATTAATCCAGCACAGGAGACTGAGGAGGTACCTGGGTTTTTCCCCTAACCCTAGCCCTTTTTCCCAGCCTGGCTGCTATATATAGCTCTTGCTCAAAAACAGAAAGGAATGACATGCTCTAATAAACCATCCCAAAAAGGGATACAAAGAGCCCTGAATTCTCCAGAGGAGCTTTTTCTTCTCAGCTCGCCTCCAGCCTGGGAGCTGCTGCAAAGCCACAGAGCTTCAGGTGCCTTTTGGGAGCCAGCCAGAAGGTGCTTGAGCTGGCCCTGCTTTGAGCTGGGGACCCTATTTCAATCTAAATTAGAAAGGACTCCTTTTCCCCTTCCCTCCTGCTGATTTTTAGCCGGATCAGGTCCCAGCTCTGGATCACTGAGCAGTTCCACACTGACTACAGTCTGCACAGGGAGAAGGAGGATTATTTGGGCACCCAGATCTGCTGTTTTGCAGCAGAGCCTCAGGCAGGGCAAACCCTCCCCAGCCATCAGCTGCAGTCAGAGATTTGACTGTTTTTCCACTCAAAAACCCTTTTGGGAATGGAGATAGCTGGGAATCCTCCAGCATAGGCCAGGCCTGGGATGGTTCCTCTTGGCTGTCAGACAGAGGCTATGAGCGAACAGCACCTCAGGAGCTCTTCTGCTAAGGGTATCATCCTGCTTCTCCAGGGGGATAGGGAAAAACAGGGTGGATAACCTAGTACTGCCTAAGTGACAGCTCTGTGAGCTCCCCACATGCAGTCCCACCATGGTGTCACCCCTCTGCCCCAGCTGGGTGACCCTGCAAGGCCTCACTGGCTCCTTGGGGAAGCTTGTGCATCCACAGCCCACTTGGGATCAGCAGAGGGACAATTCAGCTTGGATCCACCCCACTTTGAACACCACCCATGAGGTTTGGGCGTGCCCCTCTTTGGGGTCCAGACAGCACCGACCGCTGCTGTGCCTGCATGTGCCCACCACAACCTGCCTCCAGCAGCACCCCTAAAACACCTCCCTGAGCACCTACTGCAGTGAAAAGTCTTTTCCCACTTATCCCATCAAAGCCACCTGGGTGGGACCCCAGCTGAGACACCGCGTGGGGACAGACAGAGACGCCCTTACCTGGACGCCGCGATCTCCGCTTTCTGCTTGGCGATGGTGGCCGCCCGCTCGGCCGCCTCCACGGCCCGATCCACCTTCTCACGGATCTTGCTGGCCCGCAGCGGGATGAGGTTCTTCCTCTTGCCGCTGACCAGGATGTTCTGCTTGTACTTGCCCTCCTCCTTGGTGCCGTCAGGGAAGGTCATGCAGCCGTAGCCATGGCGCTTGTTGTTGGCCCACTCGCCCTCGTACTTGAGCCCGTCCGAGCGCTGGCTCACCCCGAAGCCCGACCGCTTGTCGTTCTTCCACTCGCCCACGTAGATCTCGGTGGTGGTGGCGTCGATGTCGTCTTCGATGACGGAGAGCTCGGCCTCGCCCTCGCCCAGGCTGATGGTGGAGTTGATGTCGCTGGCGGTGGAGCTGACCGTGCTCATCCCGGCTTCGCTCCGGAACGAGCTCTGCTTGCTCCGCTGGCTGGCCAAGGAGCTCTTGGACTCGGACTTGCGGAGCTTGAGCCCGCTCAGCAGCGACCGCCGGAAGATGCCCTTCTTCTTGCTCTTGAGGATCTCGGCGTCGCTGTGGGCCATGAGCACGAAGCCCCCCCGGGACACGGCCGGGCTGCCGGCCACGGCCGGCGAGGCGTCGGGGTGCAGCGCCGTGCCGTTGGTGTGCTCGCTGCGCAGGGAGTTGATGGACGTCCTCAGGGGTGACCTGATAACCGCGGCCATGCCGTAGGGAACGCTCTGCCGGACGCCGTAACCCTGGCGCATCCCTCCGACCCACTGGCCCTGGTATGTCCCTGGGGAGAGGAGACAAAAAGCAAAGAGGGGGTTCAAGGCAGGGCCACCTGTGTTCCGCTAACGACATCGAACTCCTCCCTGAGCCCTTCACTAGCGGGAGCAGCCAAGTGCAGCTCTGCATCCCAGTCCCATCTCCATGACAAGGGTTGTAACGTCATGTTGTAGAAGGAAATCCACGGTTGGATTGCGGGCCTGCACTCCACCTGCAGCATGGGAATATTAGAAACCAGCCAAGCCATCGAGGAACTGCCCCTTGGATCAATCCCTAATGTGAAAGGAAAGGGAGCAGGGAGATGGGAAGGGAGAATCATTATCCAGGAGCAGATTCCAGTCTCATCCATGCTGCCACCAGTGATCAATGCTATATCACAGTGGATGGGTGGTATAGAACAGTACGTTTATTTATACACATAGTGCCTTCTTCCGGTGTGTTGAGGAAGGAAGCAGCTCTACAGAAATAAAGGCGTCATGGGGAGAGATCCATTTGGTTATTCCCCTCAGAAATGGGCCTGTTTGAGCTCTTCCGTTTGTCTGGGTCCTTACTGGAGTTGTTTAACTGGTCATTAGTGGGATGAAACACACACAAGACTTCATCACAGCACTGGGAACGGAGGGACAAGGAACTCCTCCAGTCCAGGAAGCACAACTGGAGCACATCACCCACCCTGTGCACCAAAAGGGGGGGGTGTAGTAATGTGCTTGGGGTTCATAATCCCATCCCCTACCGGAGCTTGGTGACTGGCACAATTCCAGGTCTTATCCCAGCCAGTTGAACCACAGGGCTTGTTTTTATTCTTAGGTTGGCTTAATCTTTTCTGGACCAGCTCAAGACACACTGATTCACTGCTCGCCTAAGCCCTTGTGGGGCAGACTGATGAGCCCAAGGATGGCTCCTGGCCAGGCACTGGTGATGCTGGGATGCTGTTGCTGGTCCCAGCCCCCGGCTGCAAAGAGCTGGGATGGGCACAGGCAGCACCTCGGAGCACTGGGACCTCCCTTTGTGCCAGCCCCGCTCCCACACACCAAGGGAGTCTTAAAATAGACCTGCTGAAATAGTGAACTCTGCGTGAATCCAGCCAATCCTACCCCCAGGACTCTGTTAGGAATTTCCACACCCGATTCTGGGGTTCAGTAGTAGCTCTGGAGGTAGGTCTGGGCTGGAGTGGCTCATGCTGAGCACAGGAACTGCTTCCTGAGTGTGAAACCAGCACCAGGCCACATTTTGTGCTGCATTTTGGGGTGCATCAGCTGTCTTTTGTCTGCCAGTGCTTTGCACAAATCCTGCAGGACTTGAGCATCCTTCCTGCTGCTCCAATGGAACACCCCAAGGTGCTACATTATCTGGGTGACACCTTTGTATACCCCAAAAAAACTCCAGTCCCAAACTAAGGGATCCCACAAAGACTGCCTTGGAGAAGGGATGTGGAAGAGGCAGGGGCAGGTGGGCAGGATTTACTGAGGGTTTATAGGATTAGCACTGGGGAGGGAGCAGAGCACCGGGATTAGGGCAGGCACTGGCAGGGTAGGGCGAGGTGGTGCCAGGAAGAAGGATGGGGGGCAACCGGCAAGATGGTTGGAAAAGGGCTCAGAGGAGACACCACACATGTCCTGTCATTGGGTTGGAGCAGTGAGCCTGGCTTGTCCCGCTGCAGTCCACCTTGGTGTCCACAAAAACAGGGAACAGCCGATGCCATGCCCCCATGGCTCTCCTCAAGCCCAGTGGCAGCCTGGAATGGTGGCTGCGGCAGGAGAGAGCCCACCAAGCTGTCCATGCATTCCCTGAGGACCTGGCACCACCTCGCTGCCCTTTCTGGCTCCATCCCAGAGTGTCCTGGCAGGACAACCTGCTGGGGTGATGGGCAGCAACCGGGTGAGAGAAATTCCCCTCAACACTCCAAGTACCCTGCAAAGGAGCTTCCAAGATGGCTTGAGATGTCCTCACACTGTGCTCAGCCTCCTGTTTCCCCTAGAGATGGATTCAGTGAGTTTCAAGAAAAAATGCCAGTATGGGAAAGGAGGCAGGGAGAAAAGGTCCTGCATGAGATTCATCACAGCCTGCCCTGCCCAAGTCTTCCCTTTCTCTTGGCTGAATCCCCTGACTTGACCCCTAGCTCCAGGCACGTTCCTTGACCTCCTCATCTCCTGGCAAATCTGCAGCTGAAAAAAACTCCCTGGATTAAGCTGAAGCACCGTACAGCAAGCACAGATCCCTGTGCTGGAAAGCTGAGGGACAGGCAAAGAGCAGAACAAAGCGCTCCAGGATGGAGTGTGACAGTGCGGCCCGGCTGGGGCAGAGGCACAAATTGGTCCCAGCAGGTTCCAGCTGCAGCCTGTGCATGTCCCCAGTCAGGCTGAGGAGCCCAGGAAGCTCATCCCTGCATGGCCTTAAAACATACTGCTGGAATTGCACAGCTGCCAGGAGCAGCCTCAGCATCTCCTCGACAAGGCTGATTTTTCCAAGCAGAGGATGCAAGGAGCCATCCCATCCAGCCAGTCCATCCTGATTCTCCCCTCTCAGCACCACGGAGCAACTCCCAGCAGAGGGCAAAATCCCAACCCTAACTCTGTTTTTATGGATGTCATTGCTCTCCTTGTTGCTTCCCTGTTGGAGGCAGCACACGGAATATCTCCAGGGATTGCCTCGGAGCGCCACCAAGACATCTGGGCACCTCCATGGCCACCAGCAGATCAAAGAGCTTCCTTCAGGGAGCTGAATTAATCCATCCTTCCTTACCCAACAGCACTACTTCCTTCCTCTGACTTCATTCTGTTTTAAACCCCTAAATATCCCAGGATTTGGCCGTGGATGCCGGGAGGTTTCAGAGCCATCTGATCTGCATTGCTAAGCACTGCCAGCCACCTCCTCCCCTTGCCCTGCTCAGCTTAACCTCTGCTCCCAACATTTGCAGATACTGCACAAGGTTTAATCTCACAAGGAGCCGGGAGACTCTTTCTCCCTTCAGAGGAAACAGGATTTTATGATTTTCCACTTCATGTGCCAGGATGGACTGGCTGTAGCTATCCCAAGTTTCAGAGCTCTGGAGTTGAAAAGGGAGAGTGCAGTGGGCAGCTGTCACAGTGGGGACCACAGGATGGGGCTGGGAGGATGGAATGAGTCAGGGAACATGGGATTCCCATCCCAATGGGATAGGAGGTAGGGAGACAGTCAAGGCAATCCTGGCCACAAGCTGATTGTATTGGCCAAGCCAGGAAAGAGGAAAAGCCACCATGATGGAGAATTGCTGGGGAGGAAAAGGTCCCAACCTCTTCCCTCAGCCACGCAGGTCACTCTTCTGGGTGCCTCCAAGATACAACAAATACCCATCCCACTTCTGCGTGGTCCTTCTGCATTGAGGAAAAAGGACAAAGAGCAGCCAAGAAAGTCTTGGAAAAGGAAAGAAAATCATCACAGAATCATGGAACTATTTGCATTGGAAAGGACCCTAAAGCTCATCTCTTTCCAACCCCTGCCATGGGCAGGGACACCTTCCACCGATCAGGTTGCTCCAAGCCCCGTCCAACCTGGCCTTGGGCACTTCCAGGGATGGGGCAGCCACAAAATCCTCCTGAGCTCAGTAATTCATGACTTACTATGGCACTGCAGCACAAGCAGCTGCCATGTCTGCATTGTAGCTCTTTCCTCACTATCAATATTTGCAAAACACTTCCCGAAGCATTAATTGCATGAGATTAATGGAGTGATTGCACTGGGAAAGTGCAGCATCCATTAGGTGGCCAGGGAAGCATCTGTGGGTTTAAGTCAGGGACAGGAGCAGACAGGAGAGCACTGGGCAGCCACCCCCACGATCCTGCTGAAAAGAGGATCAGATCCTGCCCTGGGAAGGGGATTTTTTGCAGCAAAATCAGAGCATGAGAGAATAAGCAGGTTGAGATCTTGCTCAACAATCTTCCCATCCCAGGGAAGATCCCAAATCACCCTGGTGTCATCGCTCCAGTGGGATTTGGCCAAGATAAAGGTGATGCCAAGAAGGATGAGGAAGTGGCCACATCCATGCCAAACAGAGTTAAGGAGAGGGCACAACCCGAGGCTAGGAGGAAATAACTGGAGTCATCCCAAAAGATGGATTGGAGAGAATATTCCTTTTTCAGAAATAACAGATGAAGCACAAGAAAGGGAATGGGCTCATGGGAAAGACAGGGAAAGTGGGGATGGGATGGAAACATGGAGAGAAGAAAATGGACAATGCTGTTGACCACTTTCACTTGTATTCCTAAGCCTGAGTTTGGGTTTTTTTTTTGGCTCACTCCCCTTGAAACAAGGCTGGCTTGTTTCCAGACAGCTTTTAAAACTCCTGAAGGAATTTCCATTGCCTTGAGGACCGTGCAGAGCCCCATCCTTGGCTGGAGGCACCCAGGCTGAAAGCAGGAAGTGGGAAGTCACTGGCCTCCAAAGCATCATTCCTGATTCTCCAGCAGAATGTTGTATGTTTTGAGCAATGACAAGCAGCAGCACTTCCTCAGCATTTGGACAAAACCCATTCTGGGAAGAGAGTAGAGAGTCTGCAGGGCAGCTCCTGTTGTCCCCATCATGCCAAAATCCCTGAAATCAGGGCTGGCCCCAGTTTGCACCTTGCAGAAATAGGGAGGGGAGCAGGACCCTGCTCAAAGCTATCAGCGAAATCCTGAGTGCAACCTCTGCGCCTCCACATTCCCTGCTGGAAACAGGGATAAGGCACTGGCACTCCAGCAATCAGCTGGGTTTGGGAACACTAATTACCTCCTATTTGCAAAGTGTTCTGGGAGGATCAGAAGCATCACAGGTACCAGGAAGAATGATGTGTTTTCTTTCATTTCCTCTGCTTTGCCAAACAGATTTTGGGGATTTCCCTGGGCGGTAGAGGACCAATCTCCATCTCCAGCTCTTCCCCCTGGGTACAGGCACTGTGGTCGGGAGCTCCCTTAGGGCATGCCAGAGGAATAGCTGGATTTTGAATGATATGGGGGGAAGCCCAAAGGCAGGATGATGGGCTGCTCATTC